TAAAGACTGTCAGCGCTTATGGAAATTCGCGTGCCTGTTAAAATTTGAATTATTAAGAGCAAAAAATCTAATAATACAATATTAATTTCACGATTTATTAGTTTTGTAGACTTGTATATATGTTTAAAACTTAATATAATACTCGATTTTGATCAATAGAGATAGTTGCAGAGATAGAGAAAATATTATAATTTTTTAGCAATATATAAAATATTATAGCATTAAAAGTATGGATACTTATACAGCATTTATAATAACTCACAGCACAGAAAATAGAAGCAATATTGCTGCAATGTTGCAATATTACAGATTGTAATGTAACATTGTAGAGATGTAAATTAACAATATGCCTGCAAAATTTCAGTAATATGCCTGTAATATTCCAGAAACGTTGCAAAACTGTAATTCTTTAATTGTTACAATAATAATATAAAAATATAATTTTTTCTAATATTTATATAGTCTTTTAGTTTATCAGCCGTTTTTGATATAATAATTAATGTAATCCATTTTTATATATTTTTTTTTATTTTATATTCGAATTGTTTAGCAGAAAAAAAATTATTGGGAGAGGGGGGGGCTAGCTTAATATTAAGTTAGTCCCCCAATACAAAAAATAAATAATTATTGTGTAAACAAAAAAAAATAAAAAGAGTTTGTTTTTTAATATTATTTAAGGATCTAGTTGTCGAATTAGGTGCTCGTTTCGTTTGATAAAAATTCGAATAGTCATGTTTACCCTTAAGTCATTTAAAATTGCAAAATTAAGTACTCTGACTATGCAAAATAATTCTTTGCTTTATGCGCTACTATTTCCAAGCATTTTTTATTTTTGCGCTGCAACCCTTAAGGCATTTCCCTCTTGGAGCGAAAGTGTTGGACACTTTATGACAGCGAACTTCTAAAATAATGATAAAATAATGATTGGAATACGATGATTCAAGAAATCAACCAAAAAAACTTCCATCTCTATGTCCACAAATCTCTATGTTAAACATCATGTTAAAATCGGAGAGATGAAGAAAATATGTACAAAGTACATGTCAGTCTTGAAAATAATCTCCATCTTTTGATACAATTTTGCCATCTCTCAGATAACTGGCGAATCCCTGCTCGAAAGAACAATGGTGATTTTAATTCAATAAATTCGATTATGGGATCTTTGATCTCTTCGGGTGTTTAAAAATGCGTACTACCGAGATGGTGCTGTAGAAGATAAAAGAGATGGAAATCTGTACGGGCCATATCTGGAGAATAAGCCGCTATGATGAATTTCCCAACCTAAAATATAGATTAATTCTTTGGTTGCATCGTTGAATGGAGTCGTGCGTTATCGTGCAGCAGTATCACCTGACAAGTTCCCTAACCGATATAGAGTTTTCGTTCGATTTCGTCACTTAAATGCATTATTGTTGGTAACGCTCAGACATTATATTGGTTCATCTAAAAAGTATCCGCGGTTTTTTGTCACTAGATGTGTGTTGATCGTCATATATCTAGTGACAAAGTACCGCTTTGTCACTTTTAGATAACCCAATAGTTTTTTCCAGGTTTTTAGCAATTCTCTAGTGAGAAATGATAATCGAATCGACGTCAAATCGATGTCGATTCATTGTTATTTCCCACTGAGTCAAAATATGTAGTACATCTTTCATATCCCACCAAATGCATACTTTTTTTCCGAGTGAATATTCGGTTTTGCAATTGACATTGATGGTTCTCCAGGATAAATGATTTTTTTTCTTTTAGGGTTCTCGTATAGGACCCACTTCTCATTACTAGTTACAATTTTAAACAGAAAATCCTTCTGCTTAAATCTTGATAACAGGCAAACTGCTGTCGTAGCGTCTCGCTTTATTTTCTGTGCCAAGCATGCGGGACCCAACAACTAACCTTCTGTATTCTTTCCAACTTCTGCAATCGATGAGAAATCGCTTGTTGAGTAACACCCAGTTGTTCAGCAAGCTCCCTTTTGTGTTTGACAAGGATTTTCTTACAACAACTGATCCTATTTCTCGTCTTCAACTTTCTTTGGTGCTTCCGAACGATATTGATCGAAATTACCCGTCCGAAACTTTTTTGTACCACCTTTTGCACATACTTTCAAACACCACATTTTCTCCTAAAGCATTCTTTATTTTTGCACTGCAAAAATCATTTCTTTCGCTTCGAGAATACTTTTTTAAATTGAAAAACAAACAGAATATAATGCCTTAGTGATTGTCGACATCATGCTCACTTTTAAAGTTGTCTAGCAAGGTTTCCATATTGTAAACAATTGACAACAGAGAAAAATATCTGTTAAAAATAGCTGTTGGTATCTCTGTTGTGTGTATATCTAGAATTTCTTACAGTTCGGCCCGCCTGACATCACATTCATCCTCGAATGCTTAAATCAAGACCGTAATTGTTGGACAAGTCCCTAATGAGCTCGACCTGCCTGACAACACATTCGATTTGGAATGTCTCGATGGCATTTTCTCATCCATATCCAGGATCTTCTTCTAGAAGTCGTCGGGATCCCCGGGACACGACCGCCATCTGACCAACCAATTCTCGTGTTCACCGTCTAGACATCTCTTGGTCATCTGAATTATTCATTATTTTTGTCTTTGTTTTGTATCCGAGTCTCAGTCTCTCCTTTTACCGAATCATTCCGAGCACACTTCGGGCATTCTCGCCCGGCTCCGATTCCTTATAGAGCTGACTCCAGAACATTTTTCTAAAATCCTGATCCTCTTCCCCTGAGAAGTTAGCAGGCACACTAATCCCACTTCTGAGCTGTAAACAATTGACGACAACAAAAAAATATCAGGGCACTCCTTGTCTCAATCCCAGGCCTGTTTCTCTCCTCCAAGTTGATAGACTTTCGCTCTGCCACTGAGCTACACAGCCCTGACGCTGTTGGTATCTCTGTTGTGTGTATATCTAGTGAATTTCTTACAATATGTATTTTTTTTATCTAAAGGTTGGTACTACGAATCTTCAAAGCAGCGGGAAAACGATTTGAATGTATAGTAAAGTTACAGTTAATTCGGAGAGGTCAGAATTTATTTGTAGACCTTTTACACACACACACACACACACACACACACACACACAGACGCACACGCACGCACACGCACGCACACACGCACACGCACACGCACGCACACACGCACACGCACACGCACACGCACACGCACACACACGCGCGCGCACACGTACACACACGCACACAACACACCCTATGAAAATATACGAATTTACAAAATACAGAAAAATTAGAGATGGAGCTAGGCATATTTGTCCACAAATCTAAATTCTTAAAAATTAACAAATTGAATAACATATATATTGCGCGCGTTATCTAAAATTTCCTGAATTACGATTCTAGGAGAATTCGAGATTTTTAATTATCGGCAAAAAGTATTAAGAGAATAGACTTATAGTTTTTAAATTCATTGATTTTGATTAATATCGCATGCGTAAATGCATGTATAACTTTACTCCATGAAAGCTGTATTTGCGAATAATGCAGTTATAATCAGTTAATGAATTAAAACTTGCCATAATATCAGCTAGGAGGTCGCACTATATAAAATTCCAAGAATTTTAAAAAATTCCAAAAACTATGATTTTGAGATTCCAGGATTTTAATCATGACAATCAAGTGTTTCAAAAATCGATGTTCTTATTAATGCATATATATTTCTCTGTGACATTTCCTTTAATTTTTCGTTTAATTATGTCGACGCGTGACACTGAAATATAATAAAAAATATTAAAATTTTAAATCTTATTCGAGTAAATATTTTTATAGGTTAATTCTTTTCTTACAATTGCATTCTTTTCAATCGTGTGTCAAAAAGAACACACGTGTTTTTGTCAGAAGGAAAATATTTTTTATTTTTTTTATTTACTGTGTCTGTTAGAATAATCAATCTAAATATAAGGTAGTATTACTCTCATAGAAAATTTACAGAATTTAATTTAAATTTTAGAATTCATGAAAATACCGAGAAAATTTATTTTAAATAAATGAATCGCGTATTTTTTCAGCATTTTGTCATTCGCATCATTTTAATGTATCAATAAACGTCTAATTGAATTATGATGTACTCTTACTCCTTATTTCGTCTTTTAATCGTTCTTTTCTTTCATCAACTTCGGTTAAATTAATCGACGATTACACAGCCCTGACGCTGTTGGGACTCAGATCCAGTTTCACAACTTAACTTTTAACTGAGATTTAACTTATTTTAAGTAATAATGAGTAATAATGAGTTGTGAAACTGGGTCTAAATGAGCCCCATGTAACTTAATCCCCATGTTAACTTAATCGAGGTTGATAAAAGAGATCCTATTATTGCATATCTTTTGTATGCAATATTAACATAAGAGAGAAAGAAAAAAAAACAAGACAAAAACAATAAAATTACTTCGATTTTTAAAACTAACTTTCTTTATTCACGTTGCCATTTTATTCGCATTCTTATTGTATCCAATATGATTTAAATTTTTCAAACTCTCATCAGCCATTCTCTGCTTATTAACTATATACTAAAAACAATTTCACATACAAAAATAATAACAATAAGAGATAATAAACAACAAAGATTCAATAACATATAATTCATATTCACATAGAAAGTAATAAAAACTTGTCTATTTATATATATATTTTTATATTGCATATTTCATGTTTATACATATCAAAAGGCATTCCTACATTTCGGTACTTTAATGCTACATAAAATATTTTCAGTTCAAAATATCATTATCAGAATTACGGATATGCAATATATTATATGTGTTATAATATAGAACAATTGTTACATCATATGATAAACTGTCGGTAATATCCGAAATAGAATATGTGTGTATTATTCAGAATTCTATGACTTTACATATAAAAAGTCTTCTTAAAGTATGTATTACAACTTTAAGTGAGCTTAATCTCGATATTTTTTAACAATTTTCTATTCTTCAATGTAATATTTCTAAAGATTAAACAAAAATTGTTTCCAAAGTGTTTATTCATTCAATAGTTTGATTACCGAAATATTTTAACCGTTAAAAGCGAGACCTTTATTTGAAGCCTCATTGTTCCAATTGTATTTTTTTCTCCTCGATCATCATTGACGTTTTTTTTCTTTTTTTAAGGAATTTCCTTCGATTTGTTTTACATAATATACATCTTAAAGTATTTACTTTCACTTATCCAATTATATAAAACAATTATTATCATACGCACTGTTGTAAATAAATAAAATAATAATGAAACAATTAACTTGATGTTAGGTATATCAATGCATTATGATTGTAATTACAATATTATCCTGTAGCAATTCGTAATAATTTTTTATGTTTAGTATCGAAAGTTGTATACGCGATTCGGCGTCTCTAGCAGCAATGTAGCGATATAAATCTCGCAACAATGTTCTGTTGTATTATATTATACTTCGTAATATTCAATGCGTTAATAATGGCGTAACTTCTTGTGCCTCTTTGACTCGTGAACATCGGTTGCTTAACAGTATCACAACATGGATCTTCAAACATGTAATACAGCGACATTTGGAGAACTCTACGAGATACATTGGATAAATATATAAGTTATATGGCGCATATAGTAGTATATTGTACATATTTTCTCCATGGAAACATTAAGAAAGGAAGTGTAAGTAAAAAGGCACTATTTCCGGGTATGGGAAAGAATCAGTTTCTTTAGGCCTCCCTAACTTCTATCAAGTCCCACCACGACATCACAGACCTCGCATTAACAGAAGTTACGCCGCTGTGAATATGTCACCCTCATTTCATTACACTTGCATACTTGTAAAGTCTTAATCCATTATTCATTCATCATAGAACATACCAAAATATTTTAATGGAGTAAATTATAAATATAGCCACTCTTAAATTCAATATGTTCAAGCATACCCAACAAATATACTGGAAGCATAAACTTATTGATTAGTTGCTTTATAAACTAGAATGGAATTTATCATACGCTACAAAACGATGGAATTTTCTCTTATTATCGCATACGGTTGACTAGCCACTGGGAAAATTATTAATTGGCAAGAGAAAGTTCAATTTTTTCTACGCACAGTTTCAATATGCACATTATTTAGTCACAATAAATATCAGCTTGCTGTAATTGCATTATGTAAAAACACCGGTGTTACGTTATATTGACTGTCGAGGATGACATCGATTTAACAATCATTTCATTAAACAGGTGTTTCGTGATCAGTCTCTTCGATTCTTCCCAATCTCCAAGCATTCGGATCTCCTGCCGCTGTAAATCGAAAGCAACTTTTAATCATAATATAAAATAATTTTTAATCATAATATGAAAAGAATATAAATAAATAAATAAATTTTAAAATAAACATATTTAAATTATCATGTATTATATATTATAATTATACTTTCTTACTTGTAAGAAAGTTGTAGAGATAATACAGATATTAGAAACAAATACATTATGTTTTTATATTTTCAAATCAGTTATAATTGTGAAAGAAGATAAGAATTACACAACACAGTATCGAAATATACATTATTCTCCTTTCAATTATTATTATTATTAATTTTCAAGATTAAACATATTTTTGAAAACGAGTGTGCTTAAAGAATGTTATTTATGGATACTACTTTACATGTATTTGGATTTATCATGTACAAAAATTTTCGAAAACATGAAGAAACTCACCTCTTGATACAATATCCAGGAAGAATAATTAATGGAATTACTCTGCGACATTTGTGTAATATATATGCATCCATTGCAGGAACATACATGTACATCACATACGATTTTTGTGCTAGAGTGTTGTACGATCGGTAGGCAAGGATATTACAGCGAAGTCTGAACGCTGTTCGATATAGGATGCGGGAGAAATGTACAGGGTGGTACACATAGGTTCGTATGGTGAAGCGTATTATTCAATACTTCTTGATTCGTGTACAGCAGCGGCATTCTCTCTTCTATTTCCAAAGCGAAATCAAAGTTGTTGCAAAATCATAAAAAAGGTGCATATAAATCAATACAAAGATCTAAGACATGTTTACTATATCTTGACAAATATAATAAAATGTTACATATCAAAACTATATTACTTTAAAATAAAAAATATGATATATTTTAAAAATGTAAAATCATGATATGTAAGTGTACATATGCACACTATGTAAATGGCTATTATTTGTATAAAATATAAAGATTATGCGTTTCGCGGGTTTTCTCCGTGTCCACATCCATTCTTGGAATGCTATTCTTAGAACGGAGAAAACCCGCAATCCCCATAATCTTTATATTTTAATCTTATATAGAAACCCATAATCTTTATATAGAAAGTACCCACCCATGGAAGTCTCAAGAATATTATTTGTATAAAATGTTCACAAAAATTTTAACATATATAACAAATTTTAAGATACATATATAATGAACAAAATTATATTTACTATGGGATTATACCATAAAAGTGTTAAAAACGTAAGAGTATTATTACAAAAGTAAACAAACTGGATACGTATAAAACATGCACATGCCTGATTAATGTAGAAAATGTGCATTTTGCTAATTATACATAGAAAGGGATTGACAAAAAATAAACAAGATACAGATAGTCTCTTTTGTTTTAAGAAGAAATTGTGTCTCAATATTAAAATGTATCAGTAAAAGTGAAAATAAACCAATTTTATACACATTTTTAGTTGAAATCTTTAATATTCGCAAAAATAAAAATTGCAGAAAAATATTTATATGTACCTTGAAGTTGACGACTGATGAGAGCAGTAATCCCTTGACTATCACCAGTCTTTTTTACAACAAAAAGTTTTGTATCAGGATCATTTTCTAAGGCTCCAATACCACCCAGACCAATTATCTGTCCATTCTGTTGCTGATGACTGCTAGCAGCCATCGTTTCACTCACCTATTACAAATAAATATGAGACACATACAAATTGAAATTTTTTATTAAGCTTCAATAGCTAACAATTCTATAATTTAACAAACCAGTTAGTAAACATTCGATATTATTGTGATTTTTAAAAAAGAGTATACCTGCATCAATTTTTTAACTACATCTCTGCCCAAAATGTGATCAAACACTGCCTGCAGGAATTGATCGCTAATAATGCTTAATTTTAGTTTGTCTCTATGCCATAATAGTATTCTTGACTCTTCCATAGCTGTTATAGACACCTAAGCAAATATAACATGACATCACACATATATATATGTGTATGTGTGTGTGTGTGTGTGTGTGTGTGTATTGGCACATATTGAAATTATTAAATTAGATAGATAAAAAAAACTAGAACTGTTTATAAGAAAATTTACTGATATGAAGAATATCAATGATAAATAAAAATTTACCTGGAAGTATTCATCTGTCGAGACACCAAACCATTCTGGAGAATCCAGGAACTGATGTGGGAAGACGATATGCAATGCTCTTCCATTTTGTGATACAACTAGTCTGTTAAAATTGAAAAAAAAAAATTTTTAATAACAGAGATCTTACATATAACAGTGAATAAATCTAAAAATATGAAAAATGAATTCTTACTTTCCCGACAGCACCAACGATAAAGAATCAACTTTGGTCACTTTTTCTTGTGCATAAACCTCTTGATACTTCAACTGGCGAATGATCTTCATACAATTTAATACTTTTCTGAATTGATGACGTGACACTCGTAATGGCTGGAATACTGCAACATATACCTACATAAAAGAAGACGATTATAAAATATTTTTATTTTAAGTGACTATTTTAAATAAATACAAATCAAAGATTTCAAATAAAACTTTATCTGTTATACTATAAATATATTAAATATTGTTTTATTAATTGCTAATTAAGAAGAATTAAGAAGATTAAGAAGAATAGAGTCTACTAAATAGAATATAAATTTTATAACATATATACTTGATTTTGATAGATTAAATAAAATGTCACACACACGCGCGCGCGCGCATCCACACGCACACATTAGTAATAATATATATATATATATATATAAATGCAGTCAAATGAAAGCAAATTACACAGAAATGACTATATGCTTAACTGTACTATTTTTCAAGAATTTCTAGAGTAGACCTATATATAAAAAATATATTATAATAATAATTCTAAAGAATATAGATAAATTAGCATGAGAGATTTCCATAATATACTTAATGCTATATGTTAAATGTCATATAAATTATACTATTGTTTTTCTTAGTTTTGTAAATAATTAATATTCTCTCACAAATCATTGTCTTCTATTTTCTTTGATCTTCACTTACCTCTTCAATTTCCCTTGTAAACTTGATAGGCCTGAGCTTGTAAAGAAGCGTGCATACATGGACGAAGTTGATGGCAACAAATAGAGCATTCCAGAGAGCAGCATCCAGCCAGCAAGCTATTGTCCAGCCCCACAAAGCAAGAAAGGCACAGCCCACAAGTAGAGTGCACCTTAAATAAAGTACACCATGTATGCCGCTTGGTGCAAGGTGTGACAATAGGAAGAAGGCATTTGCGAGTTGAAAGTAGATGTGATTCACGTAAATTCCTTGATAGGGTTGGCAGGTAAGAGCTCCGTTCAGAAAGGTTGGAGGCACTATCGGCGAATGAGGATAACCGGATCCATGGCTGACCACTGACAGTCCAGTACCTGTATAGACACAAAAATCACACATTTCACCGATCATCAAGTGATCGCAACTCAAAAGAAATCATCTTTGGGTTATGCACTGCGATCTCAACTAATAAATTGTCAAACGTACCCTCTCTATTGTCAGTGGTCACATTCCTGCATTCGTCGTTCTCGTGGTGTGCCGACGCGGGTATCGATATATCCGACGTGACAGTATTACGAGGGACATTGGACGCCGCTGCATTCGTTAGGCTGGCATCAATAGAGGTCCAATACAAGAGTATGACGAACGAAATGGAAGTAACCCAGCCTATTCGGCTTCCTATTGGGTCGAAACAGATCCACATCCCCGCATTACCACCAAGCTGGACTGTATTCGTTTCGCTCTACAACATGCAAATCCATTTGTATATTTTATTGTAAATTATATTATTTATACATAACAATATTTACTTAAAATGCTACCAAGTCAAAATTACATTTTTTCATATTATATATATTTTCAGGTAACACAACATTTATATTAAGTCATATAAATTATTAATGTAATAAATTTTAAATATACATATGTATACATGCATATGTGTATATATATGTGTATGCATGTGTGTGTGTGTGTATGTGTGTGTGTGTGTGTTTGTATTTATATTTTAATTTTATATAATCTCTTTAACACTATAAATTCATACTGTATTAATGATGCAGATTAAATTACTTGTTATGACTACATTTCATATTTATTTCTAAATAATATAAAAGCAAATGCTATCATTTGTGAATGTTCAGTTACTGCTTACATTTCTGTATTAATCTCAGCTAAAATTGGAACTGGACAATGAGAACCATCTTGCAGACTTCAAATCAAGGAAGGATATTTGCATCACCAACGGTTGTGGGAAGACGATATCAACATCTGAAATGTATATAAATAAATGTTTGATCAATCATATAAAAATATAAGAGAATTAAATGTTTCTTAGAGATTCAGATTATAAAATTATCACTTATAAGAAATTGCCTCTTTCAAATCTCTATCTCTATTAATACTTAAATAATGAATTAAATAAAACCATCTATCATTGTTATTGATACAAGACCTTTGCAGTTGTCATGGAAGGATTATCAGTGGAAGACAATATGACAAGTCAGTTTGTAAAAGTTATAAGATTTCATCACTCACTGGCATCCTCAAATTCTGACTCTGCAAAGTCTTTAATTTATTACTACTTATATATCTCAGAGATTGGATCTTTCAGAAATGTAATATTTACAAATAAGATAAAAGACAATTAATCTTACACGTCTATCGTAATATTTCAGTTGCAGGAGGAATAGATGCTTAAACATTGATTTATACTCATTCTTGGAATGACTGAAATGGACTGAGACCATTTGAATCGCCGCGAGAACGATTTAATCCAGTTTCCACGATCCCATTCCCCGTTTCACTCGGCGCACATTTGTGATGCACATGTGTGCGAATACTTCTCTATCTGCCATTTTATACACGCGATCTCGGTATAATATCCATTCTGAAACTCGAAATAGAAGTCGAGATAGACCGTTGAACGCACGGAAGACACGTATGATTTTCACGCGAGCATTATACAAGATTACATATCGCGATATATATACGGTGGCCGGATGACACGAGAAGTCGCCGTTTGAATTCGCGGAGTTCAGTCGTCATCGGAAAAACAGAAACTGCCGCCGTCGTCGTGGATACACCCTCCTAAATTCACCGTCGTCGCCGTTGTCGTGACGCTAGTTATTAAGAGTATCCCTTTCGAAATCAATAAATAACTTACTCATGGAAAATCGGCGACGGTGGGGGCGTACGCAAGGCATACAGATGAGAGGGCGAACGATGGTGTGACGACCGTCGTTCGTGAGGAAAGGGAATCCGAGGAAATTATCGATGCCGTTGGATCGGTCGTAATCGCCCAGTCAAAATTGGCAAGAGCCACGTAATAGACGCGAAACAAATCGAGCTCGCTTGCTTCTGCTTCTGCTTCTGCCGTTCTACCGTCGCCGCTGCGATCGTGCCAGATCGCGCACCTCTCACCACTCGTGACGGAAACGTCAAACCAGTCAAACTAGCGCGGCGGTCGCCGTTGCAACTTGCAAGCGACGTTGGTCGCAAACCCACGATCGGACGGGAGCCGGGAGCGGGGGCGAACACTGAACAGGGGCGAACGCGAAGACGAGGCTGACGAGGTGGTAGCAACGGGGAAGAGCGACGACATAACGCATAGTAAATATAGATTGCGCGTATGTTTGTACGATCATGCGCTATACCATGCTGGAAGGGATAACACGGTGTGTGTAGTTGAATAGTAGCCGGTATCACCGACGAGAACTATTAAGGACTGACATTCTTACGAGAGTTTGCATCCATGTGAATATTGAAATGATTAATAATTCGAAACTGATAATATTGTACTAATTTTATGATTTATTAGTTTAGTAGATGCATTTAGAACTCAATAATACTCGATTTTTCTTTAAAATTGTGATTCCAGTGTTATCGTCAAAGTTTGATTATCAACAGAGATGATAATTGTAGAGAAAAAAATTGTAATTTTTCTGCAATATGTAGAATATTATAGCTTTACAAGTATGCATATTTATTTATGAAACATCTATGTAATAAAAAATCATAAATTTAATAATGTATGAGCCAAATATAGTTATGTTAATAATAGCAAAGGCCTATGCCCAGTTTAGGCTTTGGTTGAACAGCATTGAGACATAGGCTGCGTTCAGCAGAGAAAACTAATTAGTTAGCGCTTAATGATTCTTTAATATGGTTTCTATACTTAAATCCAACGAAGAACTAAAGACAAGAACCAATCATATTAAAAAATCACTAAGCGCTAATTGATTAGTTTTCTCTGCTGAACGCAGTCATAGCTAGGATTGTAGAGCATAAAAAAAAGATTAAAAAGTTCCATATGCACAACTTTGTAAAATGAATCTCTTTCTACAGCTTAGAAGTGGAAAATCATCGATAATTGCCGCCACTGATACACTAATCCAATTAGACTTATTTAGACTATGAATCTAGAGAACTTCTTAAGACTGTATTTAACATGATCTTGAATATAAGAACGAACTATGGTTGGTATTCATAATCGAGTCTTATTTCAAGACCGTCTCAAGTAATGTCTTAAGTCGCTAAAGCAGCCTTCTGATTGGTTCGTGATTTCTTAATGGCTTCTACACACTGAACGCAGAAACACTTGCTGCGCGGCAAATGTACAGAAGCTATAAGACTATACTTAAGACGGTCTCAAATATAAGATCCGACTATGAATATCGGCCTAAGATCTGACTATGAATACTGACCTATGAATACCGGCCTAAGTGTTTTAAGCCTTAAAGGTATGTATTCATGGTGTCGCTCGTCACTCATATTCAGCGATAAATGAGTCACGTGATTTCATATGCTAACCTCGAATGTCACGTATAAACGGCCTAGCAGCGATAAATTTTTGATTGTAATTATATAATAATTTGTGTTTCTAAAACAGAGAATTTATTTTTTAAAACTAAAAAAAAATTACATATGACTATTTGAACAGTTCTAACAATTCATAGAAATTAAAATTATGTCATTTGGAGATTTTCATTGGTATCAACATTATCTCCTCCATTTTTCAGAAAAATGTCTAATCCATTTTTCGATAGTCAAGCATGGAATATAAAGAATAACAGGCCGAACTAGGTATTGAAAAATGTGATAAAAATTAGGTTTCTAAATTGGTATTGATAATACTCGATAGGAGGTGTTCAAATCGCAAAATTCTTCTCATATGCGCTTACACACATACAATCGAATAACCTAAAATAGAGACGTTATTCTTTGACATCATGCTCTAATAGTAAGGGACTTCGCACAATAAAAGAAACAGAGAACAAAGAATAAGGGCACACAAAAAATTTAAGACATAAGCAATAAGGAAATCAACATGTTGAATTTGTTACTGCTTATGTTATGGCTTTACGGACTCTACTGTGATTGGTCAATTCGCTTATTGCTTCCGTTTTACTGCTTAATCTTTTTTGTGTGCCATGGCTCTAAAAATTTCAACCTATCAGAAATCATGTATTATATATTATAGTATCATGGAATATATAGTTTCTGATAGGTTGAAATTCTCATTCTCTGTTCTCTCTGTCTTTTATTGTGCGGAGTCCCTAACAAGAAGATGTAAATTGTCATTAAAACTGCATGAAGAATGAAGCATTCTTTATGTAAAATTGATATGACCTACCATGCAAATTGTGAGAACGATGTCTGTCACCTTTCGATTGAACTAATTCAGATGACCACTTTTGACCTCACTTTTCGACGGCCTCATCCATATAAGTTCGGCTTCCTATTCTCTGTACTTCATGGTCACAAGAAACAATCGATGAACTATCGATTATTTTAAAAGCAAGCGAAATTTGAAGCCGGCTGAAAAGAATTTGTGTTATTGTTAGATATATCAGAATATACTAGAATTCGATTTTAAATTAATTTTTAAATTATTAATTAAATTGTTTGAACTAACTCAGATAATAAAACGTTCCTTGGCATAAAAAAAGAAATAGGTGCTTAGCACAAGTTTCTCTTCAATTACCATCATATTGCTGTCATCAATAATAATTTCGTTTAAATCAACCTAGAAACATTACGCGAACAACGATTGTTTGCGCAAATGAGCGGAAATGCTGTAACAAACTAATTCCCATAAATATTGCTATAATCTGTTAGAAATCGTTTTTGTAAAATATTTAGTTCACATTTTTGTCAATCGAATAGAAATGGATCGTCGTGGAGCAGTATGCGATGTTGCCACCAGAGAGATGCATCGAATTAAATTTCTTTATTTTAAAATACGACATAGAATAGAATAAAAGACGTAGCATTAGAAGATTTTTCAGCTGTGTTATAATAAAATAATCTTTTGAAGTGAGCCCCAAAGGTTCTAAAATGAAAGGCATAATCCTTTTTTTGAAATGTATACCAAGTAAATGAAATGTCCTTATACTTTAATATGTATTTTGTTCTGCATTGTAATTTTATTCATTTAATTTATAATTAACTTACACCTGTCAACCAAATGAGTAAAATGTCTATAACTCATAAGTCACTTTAAGATATCTTTCAGAGTTCTTTATGAAGTTTTTTAAAAATGTTTTTTAAAGGATTCTCTTAAAGATGTCTTAAAGTTCTCTTTTGAATCGCGCGCGCAATTTTAAACAGGAAAGTTTGTTAGAGATTAATCTTTTTTACTACAACATTTCTTTTATATCGCTGTCAAATTGCTAGCAAATTTGTTTTATGTAGAATTAATTTTCATCATGTTGTCGTGCGATTGTTCTAACCTATAAAACTTATAAAAGGAAGAGGGAAATTGTTTCGATTGTACATAACCGTTTATGATATATATTGCCGCCAATATCATAAGCAAAATGAAAGTCGCTTTCCTAAAAAAAAATGGCAACTCAGGCTATGCAATTTGTATCAAATTTATAGCAACATACAAGGAACTTGCTCTGGGAAGAGCCAATACGCAAAAAACTTAAAACAGTAAAACGTAAACAATAAAAAAATCAACATATTCGATTAGCTACTACTTACGTTATGGCCTTACGGACTCTATTATGATTTGTCAATTTGCTTACTGCTTACGTTTTACTGCTTAAGTTTTTTGTATGCCACGGCTCTAAATAGAAAATTATTTTATTAAATAAAATAAAATTAACAACAAAAGTTATTAAATAATTTGTTTGACATTCTTAAACGATTTACGACTTAGACAAATTGATATTGATTTAAAAGGAAATTGATAAAAAGGATGTAAATAAAAGAAATATATTATTTTTTAACTTTACTTATCACATGTATGTATCACATTTTACATTTTCATTAAATTTATGAATTTATTTTTATTTGGAACATGTATTTCTATTACATGAACTTTAACTATTAAGGCATATTCATACAAACTTGCACAGCCGCATAAACGTATGCATAGAGAAAATTATTCAATCGCATTTCTTCTATAAAAACGCACGTAAAATGTGATTGGATAATTTTCTTTATGCATACGTTTATGCAACTATGCAAATTGGCGTGGATGTATCCTTACTTAATTTTATTACAAAAACATAAACTTTATTCTAATGTATAACAAAATAATATTCTTCTTTAAGTATTAATTAATGCAATATTAATAATACCGTTATAAATCGATATTTAACAGCCATTTATTTTATCTTATGAAAAGTAAACAGTTAAAATTTTTTTGTTTTAGCGAATATCGATGATTTGATATAACTTGCCCTGCATCTGAAAAAAACGTTTTGAAAATACAGATGTACATTCACCAACTAAAAGATTGAACACTTTATTTTAAATGAATTTCGGAATGCAGTTTGCTCACCGAGCGATTGGTTCTTACTTATAAATCCATAAGTACAAATCAATCGCTCGATAGGCTGCATTCCGAAAACCATAGAAAAAAATTTGTTGCAACCTTTCAAGGTCATGGTACACCTTCCGTAATAGTAATCATTACCTTCCGTAATAGTAACCATAACAGTATATCCACACAAATTTGCATAGTCGCACAAACGTATGCATAAAGAAAATTATCCAATCGCATTTCTTCTATATAGATGCATGTAGAATGTGATTGGATAATTTTTTTTTTGCATACGTTTATGCGGTTATGCAAGTTTGTATGGATATATCCTAAGACGTACAATAAGAACGAGCCAATCACAGAATTGAGAATTCTTTCGAACTCTTAATTTTAATTGGCTGATTCATATGATACGTCTTATAATTACTGTTACAGAAGGTGTGCACCATGGCCTTTATAGCTCCTGCACACTAGACGTGAAAACGCTTACCGTGCAGCAAAATGAGTGGTAACCAATAAACACATTAGAAGCTTATTGGCTACCGCATCACATTTTGCCGCGCGGCAAACATTTCCGTCTAGTGTGCAGAAGTCATTAATCGGTTTGCTGGAAATGTGTGCAATTGGAATTTAGTGTCTCTTTCTAAATCTCTGCCCTCTCTAGAACTGTTTATAAGGTTCAAGGGCTACTAACTGTAAAACGCGAAACATGAAATGGTATAGTTCGTTTTTATTTTAACACTCTTAAATATAATATCTTAAAATTATTTTAATCTTAAAAGTAAACAGTTAAAATTTTTTTGTTTTAGCGAAAACTTTATCCCTAGGATGAAAAGTTTTAAATTGAAGTTACTGGAGAAATTTTTCACTTTTTACTTTTCATCCTAGAAAAAAAATTTCATGATTAATACCCTAGGAAGAGATATCCTTCAAGGTACAGAATCGATTCCCAGGTGGAAATCCGAACGCAGCCCTGGGTAGCGATTATGTAACTTTTTCCCTAGTGCGGAACATGAAAAGTAAAAATTTTTTGTATATATTAGGTCATCTAAAAAGTATCCGCGGTTTTTAGATGACCCAATACATATGTACGAACATATATACATTTTCATTTTTTACGTTTTCGCTTTAGCGGAAAAGTTACATGATCGCTATCCAGGGCTGCGTTCGGATTTCTACCCGGAAATCGATTCTGTATCTTGAAGGATACCTCTTCCTAGGATATCAATCATGAAATTTTTTTCCTAAGATGAAAAATAAAAAGTGAAAAATTTCTTCATTAATCAATGGTTAAAACTCCATAAAGTTTTCGCTAAAACAAAAAAATTTTAACTGTTTACTTTTAAGATAAAATAATTTTAAGACATTATATTTAAGAGTGTTAAAATAAAACGGACTATACCATCTCATGTTTCGCGTTTTACAGTTGTAGCTTATAAACAGTGAACTTTATGAACAGTTCTAGACGGAGAGGGCAGAGATTTAGAAACAGACACTGTCCAATTGCACACACTCCCAGCAAACAAGAATGGATTAACATAGATTAAAATTTTTTTCTATCCGAATGTATATTATATATATATATAAATAGCGAATACTTTTTTTGGACTTAATTGGATGCAATTGGATTGAAAAACTGTATTTCCTATTAAAAATTTTGAATTCATAATTGTGTATTGTGTATAGAAAAAGCTAATATTATTTTTAGATTGAAAGGCATAGAGATATGCTCCATGTAATTCCCATAAATGAATAAAATACATTCAGGGATAAAAAGTATTTCATTTTAACATTCATGAATCAATATTTCTGAAAATCTGAATCCATTTCAATTCATTCTCGTTTGCTGGATAGTTACATACCCTTCCAAACTCTAGTTTTATAAATTATATATTGGGTCATCTAAAAAGTATCCGCGGTTTTTTGTCACTAGATGTGTGTTGATGATCATATATCTAGTGACAAAGTACCGCGGATACTTTTTAGATGACCCAATAGATTGAAATATATAAATGTATAAGACACAGTTCCCAGAAAACGAGAATGAATTGAAATGATGACTTTTCAATCTAAAAATAATATTACAATATTATATGTGTGCATCGTGAATACTGCTCAATTCAAAATTCTGAATAGGAAATGCAGTTTTTTAATCTAATTGAATGAAAAAGTTTCTTTTAAAATAGACCATGAATGCTATTTAATTCAACATTGAGTAGAAAATCCATTGTTTCATTTAAAAATGTATCATAAATGCTACTTCAGAATTATGAATAAGAAATTTTTCATTATAATCCAACTGAGTTAAAAAAAAGTTACTATAAAAACATATCATGAATTCTATTTCATTTAATAGTTAAAAGAAACATAAAAAGAATTACGTAAATATGTACAATAAATGTTACATATATAAATTACTTATTTTTAATTAATAAATTAATTAATAAATTAATTAATCGCTTTTATGTACATTTTACATTAATACGTTTCCTTCATTATACATCTAGCGTATATTTTTTGTATAAAAGATTTAAAATAATAACTATAGAAGTTCATGTAATTACTACTTTAATTAATTTAAACTTTTCCACGTATAAAAATTTTTTATGTGGAATTTAATTCATTTTTATGAGTTTAAAATACAAATTCGGATGAATTGAAAATTTACAATCCATTTTCATTTGCTAAAATATTTTTATTAATTTAATATGCAATTTCATCAAATATGAATCATGTATAATATTAATATTGATGTAAAAAATTTAATAATTTACAATGTCACAATGAGCACATTTTAAATATTCACTTTAAAATTGCTAGTTATTAAACTTTTCTCAACAAATCTTGCAACATATCTTGAAATACCAAAATCTTCTTTTGCAAGCATTTGTTTCTTTGTCGCATAAGTCTATTTACACGTTTATTGTAAGTAATACATTTTAGAAACGCTGTCCACTTTTCTTCTGATGAAAAATCTGTTTTTGTGAAACGTTCTGTAGTGTGTTTGGAAGATTTTAAAATTTTTTCATTTATTTCATAATTTTCTAAATTAGGTGATGGAAATTCTCTAAAAAAAGTTTTTATTTACAACATTTGCAAGATATAAAATAAAAAGATTAATTTTTTTTCTTCTTGTTTACCTTACCTTTCTCTATTCAAATCATTTATATCATTTTCAAAATAAGCATCAATTTTTTCTTGATTATTGATACAAGTAGCATTCATTTCTTGTTCGGAATTTAAGGAAATAATGAAATCTTCACTTGTGTCTTGAGTCAATTCTCGTTCATTACTTATATTTTCACTGTAAATAAAAGTGTTACTTGAAAGTAAAAATTATTAAAAAATAGATCTGTACTTTGCCACTGCACTTAAAACTTTTTATATTGTTCTTACCAAACTTCAAATATATATCTATTTTAATTCAAATACAAGTGTATATTAATTCAGCAAAGAAAAACTTAACATGCAATATTAATTAAATTTTAGACATGACAATTGAGTTAGGTATCTACTTTGTAATAACAAACCACTGAAAATTATTTTTGCCACAAGAATCTTTTATAAAATGATAGATTCCATATATTGTCAAATATATGTATATGCTAACCTTTCTTTGATATCAATATTACAGTTGCTTGCATTAATTTCATGATTTTCTGAATTGTGAAGAGTAATAACATTTTCATCTTGAAACATGATTCCAGAATTATTATATAAATTTACTTCAATGTTTTGATATGATAATGTCCTCTTTGTATCTTTTCTAAATAGAGATGTATAAAATAATTTATAGATTTATTATTATAAATTATTTGAACTCTCAATACATATTATTTTTAATTAAAAAAATCTTGTCTCACTTTTTTTGTAGGATCACAGAAGGAACTGCAGTATTCTTTAATCTTTTGACTTTTGTATAAGGATTTATGTCATGATAATCATTTTCCGTAAAATGATCACTACAAACTCTGGCTCCTTTGTATGACAGATTACGGCCAATTATCTGTAACCATTTATTCCTCATTTCTTCATTCGCTGGTATCCTATAGATGTTATATATTTTAAAACTTTTGTCAAAAAACGTGTATAAAATTAAGAAAAATTATTTATCAAAAGCTTAGGGATTTATTATCTATATAATTAAATATAATTAAATATGCCTACATAGCAAGCTTTTTTTAAAAAATAAATTTACAATTAATACATTGCATCGTTATCAACAATCATTACTATAATTCTTGTAATTAATCAGATTTTTAATTGCTTGATTATCACTATTAATATGATTATTCGTTATTACAATCAAATATTAAGTTTTTGCAATTACCTGTGAAATGATCGATGTGGTTCTGAAGGAATATTTTCCTTCGAACATATACAACACGATGAAACCATTTTTTCATCAATTTATAAAATTGTAGTATATAAGTAGGTACTCAGGAATATACTACCATTTAGAATAAACGATATCTTTAATAATAAATCAGTTGCTTATTATTATGTATGTTGACCGTGTTCCAAATTTATTGCCAACACTGAAAATACGACAGTTTACGTTACGTGCATTATAGATTTTCAGTACAGTCAATTTTGGAGCATAGCCGTTGTTGTAAGACAAGGATAGAAACAATAGAAAAAAATGTGGTTAAAATGGAAATATTTACATTTTTTCTTACCAATATTATAAAAAATCCCTACAATTATCTACGCTAGAGAAAAAAAAGATAATTGGCGCGAAATTCAAAAGTAATCAATAAAATGAAAAAAATGATGGAAATACCGCATATAAATATGAATATATATTTTTTCAAATTGAAACACTATATACATACACATAAATATACATTAGATAACATATATATTATATTATGTATATATTGGGTCATCTAAAAAGTATCCGCGGTTTTTTGTCACTAGATGTGTGTTGATGGTCATATATCTAGTGACAAAGTACCGCGGATACTTTTTAGATGACCCAATATTATACAATATTAAGTAAAGGTGTTTTCCAACAACGTACATACATACACAGAGGGACAGTGTAATGCTTGTTCTACAATAGCCATAAGCGTAGTTATAAGGGCTGCCGCACATAAAATTCCGTAACAGTATGCGTAAGATGTAAACTTAAGTCAATGAGCCAATCAGGATACCGCTTTAGGTTACGTAATCTAACGGAAATGGAAATAACAGTAAACTTATCCATAACCTCGCAAGATGAATTTCAACTGGTTGAAACTTGCCTTGCTGGATAAGCTTACTGCTAATTCTATTTCCGTTAGAATACGTAGATCTAAAGCAGTATTCTGATTAGCTCATCCACTTGAGTTCACGTCTTAAGCCCCAGACACAATGCAAAGGAATAGCGATAGCGATAGAAATAATACGATTTTAATCTATTAGAAATCAGATACACTGTAATATACAGTTTCTGATAACTTGAAATCGTATTATTTCGCTATCGCTATTCCTTCGAATTACTGGGCCTTTAAGGTTACTGTTACAGAAATTTTATCTGCGGCAGTCCTAAGTCATTGTAGTTGTATGAATTGACCAATCACAGTCCAAATATTCTTCTTACATTTGATTTGATTGGTTAATTCTTACAACTACACCATTTACTACGTTTATGACTATAGAATAGGCTTAAGGGAGCGTTTATATTGGCCGATCACCTTCAAATATTTCCTTTTCTCTCGTTGAATGAGAAGAGAATATTTGACTGTGATTAATCAATTTTTACAGATTACAGCATACGGCATACGATTACGGCTAATATAAACGCTCCCTTATTCTAGAGTGTTTATATACCCATGAGGCGTATTTTGTGCATATCGCATAACTAATCAGAAGCGATCAGTTTCTTTGATTTCGTGTTTTACTAGTAAATATGCCTCATGGGACTCCAGCCTTTATCCTAGATTTATAAAAGAAGCGCGATTTGTGTTAAGTGTTCTGATTGCTCGTTGCAATTATGTGATTAGCAACCAATGATGATATTCTTATTTTTGTGTACTAAAAATGGCTGCTTAATAAATGATTGGTGAATTTCAAAGTCTTAAAAACAACGCCATTTTTAGTACTTCTTGAAGATAACAAAATCATACAGTTTATGACACAACCACCTTAAAAGTTAATAAAATTATGCTTATTCGAAATTATGCTTACGCGTTTTTGCATGGAATGAAAAAAATCTGACAGAAAGAAGATCGCTATGTTCCGCAATCCGAGATATTAAGCGTTAAAATTGACAATTATTGAAATTAGGAAATCTGTCACGGAGGCAAAATGAAGTTTATAATTGTATTGTTCTACATGGATTTCGACTTTCTACGCGAAGCGATTTTTATCCTTCCTTCTTCCCCCTGCAAAGGGATGCATGACTTCTATAATTGTACTGTTGTTGTTACTGAGGTTAGAAAATCTGTCATGTAGATAGTAGGGTGTATAGTGCTTATCGGGACGGCTACCCGAACAAAAAAAAATAACATATCCTATTTGCTTGGGGCCTTGAAGAAGTTGCAGCGTAGACAGTGGCCTAGTTTTCACCGAGAGTTTAATCCGGATCGGAATGTAAGAACTAACCAATTACAGTCGAGCATTCCCCTGTCGACAGGGGAATACTCGACTGTAGTTGGTCTTGTACGTCATATGCCAAAGTTTGTGCGTTATTTATATCTACAATTTAAGTCTAAGTAAATGTTACGACAATTCTTGTGCCCAGACCCTGTATGTATTACACCGAAGTGTACAAGCTCATTTTTGATACATTCTCTATTCCGCAGTCTTATTCCGTATCGTGTGATTTCACCATTAGCGGTCCATGATTATATAGTCCACGGAGTAATAAGAAGAGTGAAATCACACAGTACGGAATAAGACTGCGGAATAGAGAATGCGTCATTGAAACAACCACTCAGCGCTATTCTGCATTTGTTTGATGTTGCAGAATAGCGAGTGCGTCATTTTCTTGTTATAAACTGTCGTATTTTGAGAGGTTAAAATAATTTGATGATTGATATGATGGAATTGCGTAATGTCGAGACGAATAAAACAAAATGACAAAATCTGAGTGCATAAATATAGATACAAGATAAAAAAAACAATGATGCATTATGTGCGATTTCAGTGCGCCCTTTTCCGCATTTTTCCATCACGCAAGTTTTGTGTGCTATGTTCACATGATGCATCAAAGATATATCCAATATGAATATAATTTAAATTTCGGAATAGATATTTAAATTTCGCTGATTGGTTGCTTCAATGACGCATTCTGTATTCCGCAGTTCTATTCCGGACGGTGTGATTTCACCCTAACGTCAACTTTACGTTGGTAGTAGATATATTGGGTCATCTAAAAAGTATCCGGTACTTTGCCACTAGATATATGACCATCAACACACATCTAGTGACAAAAAACCGCGGATACTTTTTAGATGACCCAATACTACCAACTAGTGTAAAGCCCATTTTACATTGTAGAATGCAATCGTAGTAAGCAGTAGATAGTAAGAAGTTTTTGCGCCTTATCGCGTCTTTTTCGCCTTATCTCATAATGAGCTTTGATTGGTTGGCTGTAAAGTAATAAGGCGTACGAAATGAGAATAACCTATTTCACTTACTCCCGTCTTAATGCTTTATACATTATATTGGGTCATCTAAAAAATATCCGCGATACTTTGTCACTAGATATATGACTATCAACACACATCTAGTGACAAAAAACCGCGGATACTTTTTAGATGACCCAATATATTTTACTTACTCTTACGACAGTCTTACTACTGCATTATAGAATGGGCTTAAAGTCTATTCTACATAGTCGTAAGTTATTTTATAATTGTTCTAGTGGTTGTAATTGTAAGAATTGACTAATCAAGTCGAATGTGAGGAGAATATTTGACTGTGATTGGTCAATTCTTACAACTACACCACTTACAAACTACGCTTACTATTGTATTGTAGAATAGGCTTAACAGATATTCGTAAAGTGTCACGTAATCAATGTATTTCTCTGATTGGTTGGAGTAGCTGTAATTCGTTGTAGCTGCCATATTGAATTTACTATTAACATCACCTCCTGTCGACTGTTGTGTGAAATCATGTCAAATCTATTTATATTACGTCTATGGTTCGTGTCTGGACGGCGGTTTTGGAAGCGTCTTTTAAAGTGAGGTTATGATTATACATAAGCCACAAGGTCACAAAAATAAATGTTCATGTATAGTTATCACATGGGCAAAATAGTCTTGCCATTTCATTGAGTTCTTTTTGTAAGAGAGTCAAAAAGATTAGGTGAGTGTTTGTGGATACAAAAATTATATTCAAGACATAATTGTTGCATGTATTGTACACATTGCTATGTAACATTTGCATACTACTATTACTGCCATCAAGAATTTAAGAAGATATTGAGTGCTTTCCAGTAAGAACACAGACACTGTGTAACAGTGAATCATTTTATCTTTATTTAATATAGGCAAACAACAAGGATGTAATAATTCACTGTGTTATACTGTGTCTTTGCTGGAAAGCATCCATTCAACAATTAAAATATTACATACAATACGTTTCTTATATCACAAATATTATTTTTGAAGGAACTCACTGATTTTCCAAAATGTCGGGCGGTATGTTGTATGGTGGAGATGAAATAGGAGCGTTAGTTTTTGACTTGGGTCATCATTCCTTAAGAGTGGGCTATGCTCAGGAAGATACTCCAAAGGCAGAAATTCCAGCTGTTGTCGGAATAGGAGAAGACTCTAATGGCACAGCCAATAAGGTTGAACCCATGGATATCGATGATAAAAAACCTGACAATAATATTACACAAAATGGGACCAAATATTACATTGATACCACTATTCTTCATGTTCCAAGGAAGAATACAGAGATTGCAAGTTATATGAAAGATGGTATGATTGAAGATTGGGATCATTTTGAGAAGGTAAATGAACAGTATTTTATTTTTAAGACTTATAATATATGCATCTTTTTACATTGAAACCTTGATCATACATTTGCCTGTTAGGTTTTAGATTACACATATTCAAAAATAATTCAGTCTGATGCCGAATATCATCCTGTATTATTTTCTGAATCACCATGGAATGTGCGTAGCAAAAGGGAAAAGTTAACTGAGCTAATGTTTGAAAAATATAATGTACCAGCTTATTTTCTTGTGAAAAATGCAGTTTTGGCTGCATTTGCCAATGGTAGAGCAACTGGTATCGTCGTCGATAGTGGTGCCACACATACGTCTGCAGTACCTGTACAAGATGGATTTGTGTTGACACAAGCCATTGGTAAATCACCCCTTGGTGGAGACTACATAAGTATGCAGTGCAGACAATTTTTACAAGTATGTAAATATTACTTATGTTTATTAACATGTCTTCGAAGTCTGTTAGCCTTGTGTATTTTTTTTTAAATAAATGTAGGATAACGATATCGACTTGTCACCTCCTTATATGGTGGGTAGTAAAGAAGTAGTTAAAGATCATGATAAACCACGATGGATTAAAAAGAAAGGTTTGCCTGAAGTTACCAAGTCTTGGCATAATTATATGGTAAAGAAAGTAGTTCAGGATTTCCAAGCCACAGTTCTTCAAGTATCAGAAACACCGTATGACGAGAAGATTGTTTCTACGATTCCTGCAGTTCAGTATGAATTCCCGACTGGTTATCATCAGGTATATATTTTATATAATGTCTATAACTTTGTATATACAAACTTTAAAATAAGATAATAAAAAATAATTATTTTAAGGATTTTGGAAGTGAGAGATTTCGAATACCAGAGGCATTATTTGATCCTAGTATAGTACAAATGCGTGGAGGTATGGTCGGTAATACTATGTTGGGAGTAGGGCATATCGTCACAACCAGTGTTGGCATGTGCGACGTTGATGTACGACCAGCGCTATACGGAAGTGTTGTAGTAACTGGTGGCAATTCGTTTATTCAGGTAGAATTTTAATAGATAGAGAACTAGCAAATGTTTTCCTTCTTGCATATATTGACAAATTACTATGTATTTGTAGGGTTTCCCAGAACGTTTGAATAGAGATTTATCTATGAGAATACCCTCTAGCATGCGTCTTAAATTGATCAGTGCGAACGGATGTGCAGAAAGAAGATTTGGAGCATGGATCGGTGGTTCGATATTAGCATCGATTGGTACTTTCCAACAAATGTGGATCTCCAGTCAGGAATATGAAGAAAGCGGAAAAAGTCAAGTAGAAAGGAAATGTCCTTAAAACACGATAACTCCTCGTATGTTTTCATCGTATTAGTGTCAGTGTTTGTATAAACATCGTCCGGAGAGTGAGTACAACTTTTGAAAAAGGGAACTCTACATTCTATATTAATTTGTATCATTTAATACAAGTTATGATGCATAAAGCACGTTAGACTAAAGCACTTTTAAATAACATCTTTTTATAACGTATCATGATGACAAATATATTCGTGACGATATGGAATTAAGTATCTGCTAGTATGTATGGATATAAACGTATTCTAACTGTAAATTACATATTGTTCCAAATTATATTATAAACAGATAACATATAAGAAAATCGATCTTTATTTATTACTGATATGTGCTGCGTGCACAAATAATGAAATTTTGTAAATCATAATAAGATTTTTTTATAAAAAAACTCACATGCCATAGCAAATTGTCATGGAAATAAATTTGTTGTTTTTTCGATTTCACACGTCCTTGCATTTGCACAATGTCCTCGGTCTTGTTTCACTACCAATAATGTTATATGCATCATATTGGAATTGTAAGTGTCCAACCCCACTTGTAGCAAATGTCACTATGAGAGCGAGATGGAGTATACGTTCACCCGGAAGCTATAATTATTCTTTGTGACATATACATGTATTGTATGGAAATAATAAATAAGTATAAGGTACAAAAGTACAAAGGAAACCATCTGTCTCTTAAAATGCCTTATTAGTGGTTAACCAAGGAAATAGCACATCCTTTGCTAAGTGAAAAAGCAAATTGAAGGGAAGGTCTTTAACACTTTGTCTTTATGCCTTCAATAATGAAAGACAGTGGATCTTATAAATTAGCTAGTTCAACTTAACTTCATTAAGTATGAAATATTAATAAACAGAGGACAATTATAAAGCCTATATTTCATATTTGTCTCTAGATAGATATTTCTAGTAGAGTTTACTAATTGGAATTCGTTAGTGATCGGTAACGTTTACTAATTGCTTGTGTAAAATTAAATAAAGAAAACTTAATTAAAAATACATAGAATGCCAACTATTCAAGACTAATAATACATTTTGAAATATCAAAAAATTTATAACATCTATTCATAAATTAGTCTTTTTATATCTATATCAATCTATCAGCATAGATCTGATGTATAAAGTTCGTGCTTGTCATCTCTTCCAAAACATCATTTTTTATTGTATATCCTTTTAATGAAACTAACATGGATATCAATAATTATGTATTTATTAACAGAAAGGTTTTAAAATTTGTTGGCCTTTATCCAACGAATATCGTGAGATATATCATATGTTTTACGTGTATGATTACTATTGTTATACCGCAAGGACTGCAAATTTATCAAAATTGGCAAGATCTGTCTACTGTATTGGAAACGAGGTATATGATCATAATAAATCTCCAGTATTGACACAAAGCAGTTATATTATAATTTTGTTATGTTTTAAGGAAAACTCAAATAATTCTATTTCTTTTATTTTTATAGTTCAGTATTGCTCACTATTTTACTTGCTATATTAAAATCGTTAGTTTGGATAAGCAATAGAAGAAAAATGGATCCTTTTATCAAATATATGTTAACCGATTATTGGAATATATTGACAACATATATTTCGAAGAAACACACAGATGTATATGCAATGTAAATAAATGTTTTTTTTTTAATTATAAATGCATAAGTGCATTTACGGATTCACATATACTTCATTGTGTTACTTACAGATACGTGAAGAAAGGATATTTATATACTAAAGGATATTTATTTTTAATTTGTAATTCTTTAATGTTTTTCTTTAGTCTACCTATAATTGAAATAGTTATTGCTGTGATTAAAGGCACTAACAATAATACTATAAAGCATTTTCCGTTTTTAGCTTTGTATCCAGAATATTATTATAATTTTCCGATGTATGAGGTAAGATCCTTATTTCCAGGGGCTCGTCAAAATTGTGATTGTAATATTCGTATATATTCTCATTTACGTAGATTACTTATTTCTCACAAATGATAGCAACAAGCTTATGTGGCCTTATTATCCTGGGAACTGATACTTTAATTGCAACAGCGTTGTTTCACACATGTGGCCATTTCAAAGTACTTAAAAAAAAAATTAAAAATATTAGTACTTTGCAAATTGATTTCGTTAGTATTTATTTGAGAAGATTCATATTTTAGCATATTATTATTAAATTAATATGTTTTGAATGCTATTTTATTCTTGTAAACATATTAAATTTTTTTATTTAGATACAACATACATATCTCGAAGAAAATACTATGCAAAAAATTAAATTACATATAATAGACATTATTAAACATCATTACACGATTCTCTGGTAATAATTTTAAATATATATATATATATATATATATGTACATATATATGTACATACACGCGCGCGCGCGCGCACACACACGCACACATGAAAAATATCGAAATTTTGTATCTAGGTTTTGTGATTATATGGAAACAGTTTTTAGCCCAATGTTATTTCTGCAAACGTT